ACGTGTGCTCTTCCGATCTAAACTGTCGTAGCGACTGTACTCGTCGAAGTCCAAGCGAATAGTGTCCTCTTATGTGTCGTTCTTTATTACCAGTGTCTATAGGAAACAATTTTTTGTTTTCGTTTTTGTATCTATTATAAACGATGTTTTTGAAATCATGGTCATATCTCATAAGCGCAATCTAAGAACAACCCTTTTTATTGTTTATAATAATATTAATTTAATTTAAAATTTTACTAGAAGTACTTACTCGATGGAAATGTTTAAAGTTGGTTGAGGATAAAGACCTTCAGCAATACACGTTATTTCAACTCCATCTTTATCATCTATAACTTTTTTCCTGTATACAAGTTCGAATTTTTCCTCTGTAGCTGTAACAAAAATTAAATATAATATACTTATGATTAATACTTTTGTAATAGTTTTAATACGTAAATATTATACATATATCGTATATTAATTAATTTTACTAAAAAATTATTTAAAATCAAACGGATGTATTCTCAAAACTCTAATCAATACTTCATATACAAACAAGTTGGAAAAAGTATACAAATTTTATATAGCTAGATTATTGTATACATATATTAAATAATTATTACAATATTAATGGAATGTTACGAACTTCAGCCTTCAGTAATATTTTTCTTTGACCAAGGTTGTCAGATGGGGTCAATTTGTCTAAACCAATTTTAAACAGTTGTCGTTTAAAATTAACGATTTAATTAGATCGTAAAAATTGTGAAAAAGAATTTGAACAATGTAAAATATATTCTGATTGTAAAGAATTTAGAATTAAAGTGAAATGTTGAAAAAAATTCTTAGAGAAAGTAAGTTCGAAAACCATGTTTTGCGAAAAAACATTAATATGTATAATTAATATATAAAACATAATTTTTTAATTTTTTAAATTTTTTTCCTAAAACTTTAGAGTAATACTTTTCAAATATACCACTTTAATTTAAAAAAAATAATTTTTTAATTAACTTTTTAAAAAAGATATTTATTTTACATATTAAAGAGTGGTAATTTTTGAATAGGTAAAGTATACGCTGTTCACAGCAAGAACGTACACAAGTTCGACGAAAATTCGTCTTGCCCATGTTCCTTGTTCAGAACGGTTAAGGAAAGCTCGTCTCCACTGTTCGTTCTGGCCTGTATAGCTTGTTTGTGTCATCATTAGAACAAATCCTTACCGATTACGATTATAGGTATTATATTTGTTATTTATTACCAAAACGTCTGTCGAACAGTTTAATTCAATGTAATGACTTCATAACATAGCGTTCATCGAAGAAAATTTAAATATTGAAATAGCACTAATATTATCTTCTTTGAAAAAGAACAAACGACGCAAGATAAATTATGATAAATAAAAATTAATTATTAATTATTAATTATTTTATTATTTAACAGAAATTGCAGTTTAAAAGTTTTATATACTCTTTTTAATATGAATTCAATGCAAGAAAAATATGTTGAAACTTAATATGTTATTTGAATAATTATAAAATAACTTTCAAAAATTATAAAATACCTGAGTTAATCTTCAAATGGCACATGAGTGCGAATTCGCATCGCGAAAATTTTTGAATTGCTGGCATTTGCACAGAGACATTTGTCGCGGTTTATCCCCACTACATTCAATATGCCCGGTACCTCAGGCGACAGGTACGCACATGCACAGTTTTAGATTCGTGCAGATTAACGAAATATTAACTTTGCAAGTTTATTGTGGTGCATATTCGCACTTCTATAGTCTAAATAGTGTGTGCCATATCGGTGCCTACTTTTAGCGTTTTACACATTTGTTAATATCGTAATATGTCCCTTGTTTTACATTTATAAACATTGTAATATGTTCCCTTTTTTTACATTATAATAACAAATAAAACATTTGTATGTATAATCTTATTCCATCTGTTTTCTTTGTTTTAACTTCCGTGATAATATGAACAATACTTTTTAATATAATTTTAATTATGTAAACGGTTTTTATTAATAATTCATTTTATAAACCAAGATTTGTTCTTAAAATACCTAATTTTCATTAAAATTATTTTAAAAAAATTTATTAAATAGATTCAAATTACTATTAAATGAAC